TCATGCTGCTGCCAGGTCCAGAGTCTGTCATGGGTCCCTGTACGGCCTCCCATTGCTGCTGTCTCCATCGCCACACTCTGCCATGTGCCACTTTCAGGTCTCCTCACACACTGCTGGTGTGTTGAATTTTTTGACATAGGGTGCTGGCAGATTACGGGCCTCCCATAGCTGCTGCCAGGCCCCTAATCTGCCATGGGCCCCTATATACCGCCTCCTCATGCTGCTGCCAAGGTCCAGAGTCTCTCATGGGTCCCTGTACGGCCTCCCATTGCTGCTGTCTCCATCGCCACACTCTGCTGCCATGTGCCACTTTCAGGTCTCCTCACACACTGCTGCTGGTGTGTCCAATTTTTTGACATAGGGTGCTGGCAGATTACGGGGCCCTCCCATAGCTGCTGCCAGGCCCCTAATCTGCCATGGGCCCCTATATACCGCCTCCTCATGCTGCTGCCAGTCCAGAGTCTGTCATGGGTCCCTGTACGCCTCCCATTGCTGCTGCTGTCTCCATCGCCACACTCTGCCATGTGCCACTTTCAGGTCTCCTCACACACTGCTGGTGTGTTGCTCAATTTTTTGACATAGGGTGCTGGCAGATTACGGGCCTCCCATAGCTGCTGCCAGGCCCCTAATCTGCCATGGGCCCCTATATACCGCCTCCTCATGCTGCTGCCAGAGTCCAGAGTCTCTCATGGGGGTCCCTGTACGGCCTCCCATTGCTGCTGTCTCCATCGCCACACTCTGCCATGTGCCACTTTCAGGTCTCCTCACACTGCTGGTGTGTTGAATTTTTTGACATAGGGTGCTGGCAGATTACGGGCCTCCTATAGCTGCTGCCAGGCCCCTAATCTGCCATAGGCCCCTATATACCGCCTCCTCATCATGCTGCTGCCAGGTCCAGAGTCTCTCATGGGTCCCTGTACGTGGGCCCTCCCCGCATTGCTGCTGTCTCCATCGCCACACACTCTGCCATGTGCCACTTTCAGGTCTCCTCACACACTGCTGGCTGTGTGTTGAATTTTTTGACATAGGGTGCTGGCAGATTACGGGCCTCCCATTAGCTGCTGCCAGGCCCCTAATCTGCCATGGGCCCCTATATACCGCTCTCCTCATGCTGCTGCCAAGTCAGAGTCTGTCATGGGTCCCTGTACGCCTCCCCATTTGCTGCTGTCTCCATCGCCACACTCTGCCATGTGCCACTTTCAGGTCTCCTCACACTGCTGGTGTGGTTGAATTTTTTGACATAGGGTGCTGGCAGATTACGGGGCCTCCCATTGCTGTGCCAGGCCCCTAATCTGCCATAGGCCCCTTATATACCGCCTCCTCATGCTGCTGCCAGGTCCAGAGTCTGTCATGGGTCCCTGTACGGCCTCCCATTGCTGCTGTCTCCATCGCCACACTCTGCCATGTGCCACTTTCAGGTCTCTCTCACACTGCTGGTGTGTTATCTGTTCAATTTTTTGACATAGGGTGCTGGCAGATTACGGGCCTCCCATAGCTGCTGCCAGGCCCTAATCTGCCATGGGCCCCTATATACCGCCTCCTCCTCATGCTGCTGCCAAGTCCAGAGTCTCTCATGGGTCCCTGTACGGCCTCCCATTGCTGCTGTCTCCATCGCCACACTCTGCCATGTGCCACTTTCAGGTCTCCTCACACACTGCTGGTGTGTTGAATTTTTTGACATAGGGTGCTGGCAGATTACGGGCCTCCCATAGCTGCTGCCAGGCCCCTAATCTGCCATGGGCCCCTATTATACCGCCTCCTCTCATGCTGCTGCTGCCAGGTCCAGAGTCTGTCATGGGTCCCTGTACGGCCTCCATTGCTGCTGTCTCCATCGCCACACTCTGCCATGTGCCACTTTCAGGTCTCCTCTCACACTGCTGGTGTGTTGAAATTTTTTTGACATAGGGTGCTGGCAGATTACGGGCCTCCCATAGCTGCTGCCAGGCCCCTAATCTGCCATGGGCCCCTATATTTACCGCCTCCTCATGCTGCTGCCAGGTCCAGAGTCTGTCATGGGTCCCTGTACGGGCCTCCCATTGCTGCTGTCTCCATCGCCACACTCTGCCATGTGCCACTTTCAGGTCTCCTCACACACTGCTGGTGTGTTCCATTTTTTGACATAGGGGTGCTGGCAGATTACGGGCTCTCTCCATAGCTGCTGCCAGGCCCCTAATCTGCCATGGGCCCCTATATACCGCTTCCTCCTCATGCATGCTGCTGGCCAGGTCCAGAGTCTGTCATGGGTCCCTGTACGGCCCCATTGCTGCTGTCTCCATGTCATGCCACACTCATGCCATGTGCCACTTTCAGGTCTCCTCTCACACTGCTGGTGTGTTGTTAATTTTTTTGTCATAGGGTGCTGGCAGATTACGGGCCCCATTGCTGCTGCCAGGCCCCTAATCTGCCATGGGCCCCCGTACCGCCTCCTCATGCTGCTGCCAAGTCAGAGAGTCTGTCATGGGTCCCCTGTACGGCCTCCCATTGCTGCTGTCTCCATCGCCACACTCGGCCATGTGCCACTTTCAGGTCTCCTCACACTGCTGGTGTGTTCCCTTTTTGACATTAGGGTGCTGGCAGCATTACGGGCCTCCTATAGCTGCCTGCCAGGCCCCCTAATCTGCCATGGGCCCCTATTATACCGTCCTCATGCTGCTTGCCAGGTCCAGAGTCTGTCATGGGTCAAGAAGCTGCCTACGGCCTCCCATTTGCTGCTGTCTCCATCGCCACACCTCTGCCATGTGCCACTTTCAGGTCTCCTCACACTGCTGGTGTGTTGAGGAAATTTTTTGACATAGGGGTGGCTGGCAGATTACGGGCCTCCCATAGCTGCTGCCAGGCCCCTAATCTGCCATGGGGCCCCTATATACCGCCTCCTCATGCTTTGCTGCTAGGTCCAAGTCCAGAGTCTGTCATGGGTCCCTGTACGGCCTCCCATTGCTGCTGTCTCCATCGCCACACTCTGCCATGTGCCACTTTCAGGTCTCCTCACACTGCTGGTGTGTGTTTGAATTTTTTGACATAGGGTGCTGGCAGATTACGGGCCTCCCTATTAGCTGCTGCCAGGCCCCTAATCTGCCATATGGGCCCCTATTGTACCGCCTCCTCATGCTTGCTGCCAAGTCCAGAGTCTCTCATGGGTCCCTGTACGGGCCTCCCATTGCTGCTGTCTCCATCGCCACACTCTCTGCCATGTGCCCACTTTCAGGTCTCCTCACACACTGCTGGTGTGTCCATTTTTTTGACATAGGGTGCTGGCAGATTACGGGCCCTCCTATAGCTGCTGCCAGGCCCCTAATCTGCCATAGGCCCCTATATAACACCGCCTCCTCATGCTGCTGCCAGGTCCAGAGGTCTCTCTATGGGTCCTGTACGGTCCTCCCATTCCATTGCTGCTGTCTCCATGGCGCGCCACACTCTGCCATGTGCCACTTTCAGGTCTCCTCACAATGCTGGTGTGTTCCATTTTTTGTCATAGGGTGCTGGCAGATTACGGGCCTCCCATAGCTGCTGCCAGGCCCGTATTCTGCCATGGGCCCCCTATACCGACCGTTCCTCCTCATGCTGCTGTGACGTTGCAACAAGGTGGTGGATTCCAACCCTACATATGTTAGACCGCCTTTACGAACAGCAAAAGGAAAGGCCATCACAGAGTTTCCTGATGTTAAAAAGCGGATAAAGGTGACACTGCTCTGTGTTAACTTAGATGTCAGCCATTGGCAGCTCATTGTGCGTGGTGACACACCTAGTTGCTTGCTTCAGGCCCTTTGAGGAGGGCCACGCTATATTCGTGCTGAGTCGGCAGGGACTATGGGTCCCATGAACGACGTCATTCCTCTGTTGCACGTCCTGGAACAAATGCTGTTAACAATGGCTGGTCAGGGTGCGGTAGACGTGGCGCAACACAGATCTCAACGGCCACATGACCCCTGTGGGGGGCAGGGACAGGACAGGAAAGAGAAGAGGAGGAGGTAGAGGAGGGACCACATTGGTGTGCTCAGGAATTATTGAGTGAAAATGGGTGGTTTTTTCACTCAGCGGACAGGAGTGGAGGAGCAGGAGCATCTGGTAGGTAGAGGAGGAGGATGAGGAGACAGAGGACCCAGACGCACCTCGTGGCAGTATGCTGTGGAGATGGAGGCAGGGGAGTCCCCTCGCATTCCTCTTGGGTCACAAATGGCCCATGCATGCTCGGTTGCTTGGCTTGCGTAGCGTGACAGCAGTTCCATATTCCGATAATAATAACCATCAGACAGAGGGATGACTTTTGCTGCTGTCCACCTTGTTGGACCCTCGTACCGCTACCGTTCAAAAAATGGTGGCCTTTTTCACACCTGCTGCTGAGAGGGAGGCCAAAAATAACGTACTATTAAAAACCACCTATGTAGTCAGCTTGGTCTCTGCCATCTCTGCGCGCCAACGTCCATCCTCAGACACTGTGGGGCCCTGTGCGCTCGCGTTCCGCTGCCACGGCCAGCAGGGCTTGTCAGGGGTGAGGTGGTTTGGTAGGAGCAGTGGCAGCTCCACCAGCAGCTGGCACTGTGCCCTCAGGTCTGCAGTGCTGATGATGAGAGTAGCTTCTTCACCAGCGCAGTGAGGAAACTTACTAACCAGCCGCAGAGCAGCAGCTGCAGCATCAGGTGGACCTGGAGCAGGACCTCAAACCAACAGGCTTAGGCCTACTTGGACAGCACCCTGCCAACCGAGGTAGACTGAATCCCCTTGACTACTGGGCAACGAAACTTGACCTTTGGCCCAAACTAGCTGCTGATTTTGCCCTTGAAAGGCTGTCATGCCCCGGCCAGTAGCGTGGAAATCGGAGCGCGTGTTTTTAAGTGCATGGCAGGAGGTATTTTATAACTCCGCGGAGGACTACGACCGCTGTCACCCAAAGTGTGGAGAGACAGTGACTTCACGTTCGGTGAAAATGATGAATAGGACTGTGGGGATTTGAACGTACTGTCCATTTCAGGATTTGTGCTCACCAGCTCCTGACACAAATGTGCTGTATATCCGCCTGAATCAATTCTTACATGTGCCAACTTTCAGGTCTCCTCACACTGCTGACCCCTGTTCCATTTTTTTTTGTCGGGTTAGGGTTCTGGTAGATTACGGGCCTCCCATTGCTGCTGCCAATGGCCACTTATCTGCTCATGGGCCCCTATTACCGCTGCCTCAATGGGTGGCTGCTTTAGGGGGAGGGTGACTTGGGGTGTCCCTTGTTGGGGGGTGTGCTGGTGGGGTTTTGGTTGGTGGGGGGTAGGGGGAGTGGGGTCCACGGTGGGGGTGTTTTTGGTTTGGGGTTTTGTTTGGGGCGTGGTTGTGTACATCCTGAGTGTTGTGTGGGGGGGGGGGTGGGGTGGCGGGTTTGCTGTTGGTTGGGTTTTTTCCATTTTTGGTGTTGTTAGGGGGGTGGGTGTTTGTGTGGTGGTTGGGGGTGGGAGGGGGTTGTTTGTTGTTGTGATTTTTTTTTGGTTGGTTTGTGGGTTTTTGTGGTTTTTTTTTTTTGATTTGATTGTTTGTTGTAGTTATTATGCTCCCATTGCTGCCCATGGTTAGTTATGATTTGCCATGGGCCCCTTTACCGCCTCCTCATGCTGCTGGTTAGGTCCATAGAGTCTGGTCATGGGTTACTGTACGGCCTCCCATTGAATGTGCTCCATCGCCACGCACTCTGAAATATGATGTTTTAGGTCTCGTTACACTGCTAGGGTGTGTTTATTTTTTGTCATAGGGTGCTGGCAGATTACGGGCCTCCCATAGCTGCTGCCAGGCCCTTAATCTGCCATGGGACCCC